GTAGATGGGGTTAGAATACAAGAGCAGTGATTGACCGCTGAGGCTGTATAAGGCTCTGGTCAGACTGCATTTTGGAATTTAAGAGAGGTGATGGGCTGGTAGTATTTTCGCTGGACTATTAATCCAGAGACCCAGATAACGTTCTGGGGACCTGGGTTTCAGTCCTGCCACAGCAGAGGGTGAAAATTGATTTCAATAAAAGGTCGGGAATTAAGAGTCTAATAATGATCATGAGTTCATTGCTGGAAAAACCCATCTGGTTCACTAATGTCCTTTAGGGAAGGAAACTGCTATCCTTACCTGGTCTGGCCTGCATGTAACTCCAGACCCACAGCAATGTGGCTAACTCTTAACTGTTCTCTGGCATGGGCAATGATGCAGCCATGCCCTCATCCCATGAATGAATAATGAAAAAAGTTGAGCAGTTTTGATCTCCATATCTAAAGAAGTATACATTGGCCTTGGAGGGTGTCTACAATACTGATCCCAGGATGAAAAGCTTGTCATGTGAGGAGTGGTTAAGGACTCTGGATCTATACTTGATGGAGTTTGGAAGGATGAATCTGATTGAAACTTATAGGATACTGAGAGACTTGGATAGAATGGATGGGGAGACGGTGTTTCCACTAGTGGGAGAGACTACGACCCCAAGGGCACAGCCTCAGAGTGAAGGGATGACCTGTTAGAATTGAGATGAGGAGGAATTTCTTCAACCAGAGGATGATGTCTCTGATGTCTCTGCAGAGGGTTGTGGAGGCCAAGTCATTGAGCGTATTTGAAACAGAGATAGATAGGTTCTTGATTAGTAAGGGGATCAATGGTTACAGGGAGAAGACGGGAGAATGGGGTTGAGAAACATGTCAGCCATGATCGAATGTTGGAGTGACTTGATGGGCCAGATGGTATAATCCTGCTCCTATGTTATATGTTAGAGGGATAAATATTGACACATACCCCCTACCCCCTTTTTTCTTCCAAAGAGTGCTGTGGAATTTTTAGGTTCACCTGAGAACGAGGCAGCTATTTTCCTGATGATTTGGGGCTTTGTGGTATATTGTAGATCAAAGCAAGTCAATCTTTGTTCGAGCCCTCAGTGTGGCAAAGTAGAGCCAAATGTGTAATGACAGGAACCAAGACAAATATTGCAGCAGGGGGCAATGTGGTCTATCAGATTCTAAAGGAGTTCGACAAAGTAGACATAGAGAGGATGCTTCCTCATGTAGGACAATCTAGAACGAGAGGTCACAGTTTTAGGATAAGGGGTAGCAGATTGAAAACAGAGATGATGACAAATTACTTCTCTGAAAGGGTTGTTAATCTGTGGAATTCGCTCCCCCAGACTGCAGTGGGACATTGAGTAAATTTAAGGAGTAGATTTCCAATGAGTAATGGGTTGAAGGGTTATGGAAACCAAGCAGGAAAGTGGAGTTGAGGTCGAGATGAGATCAGCCATGATCATAAATGGTGAAGCAGGCTCAAAGGGGTGAATAACCTACTCCTGCTCCTAGTTCTGATGTTCTAACGAAGGTGGGAGCTTAAAAAGTCTGCATGCAGACTTCTCTCACCAGCTGAGGACTGAGGGAAGAGCTGCGAATTACAATAGATATGGGCTCCCAAGTTTAAATCTCATACCAGTTCTGTCGCCCAAACTCTTTTTTTGGTATTTCCTGTTAGCATGAGATCTGATGTAACTGTTGTTAAAGCAGTTACTTACCAAACATAATGAATCTCTGATAAACAAGACATAAGGAAGGTGACAATATATGACACAGAGGCTGCTAATGTTACATAAACTGACATCAAGTAAGTACCAGGCACCATATGTACACCATTATCAACTAAGTGTTTAGAAACATGAAAGATTTTTTCCCAAAAGAAACTAATTATCAGATGATGGTGGGAAAGGGGACAATGGTTATCCTTATATCATGAGTGGTTGCCTTGGGCCCATTGGCTATAAAGAGTCAGACCATTGATTGGCATAGCATGGATTACTAGCCCCAATAATAAAGTTTATCAACAAATGCTCAGAATCAGAAGGTACCTAAACCTCATGAGTTAACTGTCTTCTTTCAATGGAAGATGGACCAGAAGAGATTGAGGGAAGACCCAGGGAAGGGTTCCCTAACACTGTGTCCAGAGACCAGGATGCAGCTTTCACAATGTTTAATGAGATCGACATGTTCTATGACAACTGTCTGCTCATCTTTCAGTGTGGACCTCTGAGATCCATACACTGTAGCGACTTCTCAAACTGGAAGTCAATGCTAGGAAGGGCATCAGCACGCAGATCTGTGTGTATGGGCCCACAGAGCAGTTCCATGACTGCACAACCGTGCAGCACAGAGGGAACATTGCTGTTAAGTACAGAAAATCTGTCGGTGCTTTCTGTCAACCTGGGTCCAAAAGATGAGGTTAACTGGGGAAGGGTCACCGGACCCTAAACGTTAACTCTGTTTTTGACTTCACAGATGCTGCCAGACCTGCTGAACTTTTCCAGCAACTTTGTTTTTGTTAACTGGGGAATTTTGCACACTTTTATAAATAATGGGACAGTATTTCCAGTGCCCAATGAAGCATTACACAATGATCACTGTGCAGGTGTATAGAAGGATCCATACTGTTTCCATTGTGTCCTGGAACTCTTGCAACTTCTGTGCTAATACCGTCCTGTTTTAAAGCCAGTGGCGATAATTTCTGCTCCATTGAGATCTCTATGTCCAATTTGCAAGGGCCAATGACACAGTGAACATTGTTTGTGAGTTGCATTTGAACCTCAAATACTTTTAGACTGAATGCATTTTGATTTGATTTATTGTTGTCACATGTACCTAAGTACAGCGAAATATTTTGGGCTGGCAAGTGACAAGTAACAGTTGACCACACAGGCTATAACCATCACTAATAAGATACAATCTAATCACCACTCCTTGTCATTCAATGCTGTTACCATCACTGAATCCCCACTATCAACATCCTGGGAGTTACCATTGACCAGAAACTCAACCGACTTGGCATATAAACACATTGGCTACAAGATCAGATCCAAAGGCTAGGAATACGGCAGCGAGTAATTCACCTCCTGACTGCCCAAAGCCTGTCCATCATCTACAAGGCACAAGTCAGGAGTGTGATGGAATACTCCCCACTTGCCTGGATGGATGTAGCTCCAACAACACTCAAGGAGCTTGACACCATCCAGGACAAAGCAGCCACTTGGTTGGCACCACATCCACTAACATCCCACTCCCTCCACCACTGATACTCAGTCACAACATTGTGTACTAGCTACAAGGTGCACTGCAGAAATTCACCAAAGATCCTCAGACAGCACCTTCCAAACCTACGACCACTTTCATCTAGAAGGACAAGGGCAGCAGATACATGGGAACGCCTCCACCTGCAAGTTCACCTCCAAGCTACTCACCATCCTGACTTGGAAATATATTGCTGTTCCTTCACTTTTGCTGGGTCAAAATCCTGGAATTCCCTCTCTAAGGGCATTGTGGGTCTACCTTCAGCACATGGACTGGAGCAGTTCAAGAAGGCACTTCCCCACCACCTTATCAAGGGCAACTAGGGGCAGGCAATAAATGGTGACCAGTCAGTGACACCACATCCCATGAATGAACAATAAAAGTGAGTGGAGAAACAATTTACGAGAATTGTTCCAGGGATGAGGAACTTCAGTGATGAGGATTGAGTGAAGAAGTTGGGGCTGTTCACCTTGGAGAGAAGGAGGCTGAGACGAGATTAATAGAAGCTTTCAAAATCGTGCACAGATTGGACAGAGAGGGAGAAACTGTTCCCACATGTAAAAGGAGGATAAGCAAGAGATTTGGATTTAAAATGATGGGCCAACATAGTAAGGGTGATGTGAGAAAATCACAGTCAGTACATAGTCAGTAGGTTACAGTCTGGAATGCACTGCCTGGAAATGTGATGGAGGCAGGTTCAACTGAGAGATTCAAGAAGGGCAGTGGATGGTTATTTGGAGAGAAAGGTGCGCAGGGTTATGGGGAGAAGATGGGAGATTAGCACTGGGTAATAGAGCTACTGCAGGCATGACAGGCTGAATGGCTTCCTTCTTCAGCATCATCACAAATTCTAACAAAATCCAAACAAGCGTAAAATGCCTCCAAGACACAGACACAACAAGCTTAGAGACTGTGACAGATCAGCTGGTATGGTTGCCAGGATGCCAGGCTTGAAACTGCCCAAACAGGTGCCCCACTCAGACCCAGGAACCAGTTCACAAACACATGACAAAAAGGAAACACTTCAGAAACAATCCCAAAGTCTCCTCAAATGGTCTTCCCTCTTCATCTTGACCTGTGGGGCACCAATGCTATCAAACAGGTGGTGTGGTACCAAGACCAAGTGGCAAACAAGAGCAGCTACAGAGGGAGGCTGGTGGGGAGGTGAGCTAGATGCCGAGTCACCAATCCAGCCAATGCCTCTATTAGCTCCTGTGCCATCTGCGGACTCACTCCCAATACTGAGATCTCATGGAATCCCAGCCATAGGGAAAAGTCATCACTCTGTGTGAGGCTGGTACAACATTTGAAAGGCATCTCAGTGGGTACATAAATAGGAAGGGTTTGGAGGGACATGAGCCAAATGCTGGCAAATGGCATTGGGTCAGATTGAGATGTCTGCTTGGTGCAGATGAGGTGGTTCCAAGGGTCTGTCTCCATGCTGTATGACTCTATGACAGTGAGCCCCACGTCACCCCCCACCCAATCTCTGAGTGTAGAAGTTTCTTCTGGATTCCCCAACTGGATCTCTTGGAGACTATTTTATATAGACGGCCTCACACTGGCGTGCAGTGAACCTGTAACCCTGTTTATTTCCAGGGACAGCGGCGGGGAACGAGCCAGGTTACAGTCATGGTACAGGGGGACTGTCCCTCTGTGTATGCGGGTCAGCTCTCCCTCCCTCTCTCGCTCCCTCCCTCCCTCTCTCCCCACTCGAAACAAAACACCAAATTAGCTCAAGGAGAAAGCGTCAGGGCACCGCCAGAGGCAGTCGATCTGGCTTCCGCAACTTAGAGAGAGAGAGAGAGAGAAAATCAACAAGATTTTTCAAGTGAAATGTGAAACGACTTCAGAGCAAAGCAGGAGCGTCCTCATTCTGGGTTAAAATCTTCCCCTTTAAGCCCCCTCCTCCCGTGTTCTGTGTGGGGCGGGTAACGTGTATTTATTTAAGGTAAGTGTTCTGAGTTCCACTGTTGTCATTAGAAACCTCCCTGAGTGTGTGTACAGGCTTAGGGACGCCTAGAGAGATGGGTCACAGACCCCCAGGGGGCAACTCCAGCCCAGATTTACACTGATGTCTCCTCTCATTTTTCTCAACACTCTCCCTCCCCGACCATCCCCACAGCAACCGGTAACTTTTGGCTTGTGTCCTATGGGCAAAAAAAATGCTATGTGTTCCAGGTGCCTGGGTGCTGCAATGTTGGATGGAAGTGGGAACCGTGTGACACCCCAGGGCTTGCTGTACAAGGACCTGTCGCATTTTGTCAACGCGGATGGCAATTACATTTTCTGCAGATACTGGGAGCCTCCAGAGCCGCCCAGGTCAGCACCTACCTTATTGTTTAGAGATGCGATACGGGAAAATAAAACAATAGGTTTCCGAGCTCACAGAGCTGTGGAGTGAGTTAGATTGTCAAGGCTGTGTTTGTTTGCAATTGACCCTATGTCAATTTCCAACCCCCTCCCCATTCTCCCACCGCTCAGTTTCAATTGGAGGAAATTGATCAGACTGAGATGTAACAATTTTTGGGGGTTCGGGATATCGCAAGTTCCTTTATGAGCCTCTTATGTGTGGGTGTGTGAAAGAGAGACTTTATCAAGCCGTTTATAACCCTTAGGACATACTGCTACAGACACTGGGACCTGATGTTTTGCATTAATTATTTAATTAGGAATTTCCTGCCTCTCCTTGGGGTTTATTTTTGCGCGTGTTCAGGGTTTTTATTTTCCCTTTCCCCCAGACTCCCCCCTTCCTCCCATCTCTCAGTTTGGACTCCAAGATAGATCTGTTTGTGTGGTTCGGATTGCTAATCGAACAGAAATACCCAATCGAAGCGCCGAGGGGGAGAATTAGCCAGCTCCGCTCATTGTAGATGCTTTCTCTTCGGGAGGTGGAGCGGGTGGGACTTGAACCCGGGGCTTCTTTATTTCAGAGAGAGAAAGTGCAGCTTCTACCTCCTCACCTGCATCCAAGTACTTTGTACAGTTGGCCTGAGCGCTGGGTAGAGATGGTGATTTACCCCTGGCTCCCAACTTTCCACCATCTGGATAGTGCCCAGGGCTCTTTCTCTGGCGCGGTGGTAGTGTCCCTACCCTTGGACAGAGAGGCCCGGGATCAAGTCCCACCTGCTCCAGAGGAATGTAATGACATCTCCGAACAGGCTGATTAAGAAAACAGGTTAATGACAGAGAAGAGGGAAAAAAAATCACCTGTATTTACATAGCGCCTTTCGCCACCTCCGGACCTATTTCACATGTATCTGTATTTTCAGTCGTCTCCTTCTCACGTCCCCCACCCGCCTGATTGATGGAAACTCCTCCCACCCTACCTACCCCCACCTTGCCCTGGTCCAACTCCGGCTTCTCCCCCGATTTTAATCGCTGCGTGCCTTGAGCGACCTGGGCCCCAGCTTTGAAATTCCCCTCCCTGAACCTTTCCCTACCCCTGCGACTCTCCTTTACCTCACTGGTTAAAACCAAACTCTGCACCAATCTGAATTTATCTCCTTCTGTAGCCCAATATCAAACATCATGGGATAGCACTCCTGTGAGACAGCCTGGAGCATTTTAATGTCTAATGTATTTTTGGTAAGGGCATTGCATGATTATTTAAGTAGAAATATTGTGCAATAATCCGGGGTAAAAATCGGAGATTGGAACCAGGTACTTGTTTGAAGAGCTGGTGCAGGTAGGATGGACGGAATGGCCTCCCTCTACATGTATCAATTGTGCAAAAGGCACTACCTAAATGCAAGCTGTTCTTACTAATTTCTCAAAGTGTTCTTGAGCAAAATGAAGTACTTTGAAAATGTAACCATTATCGCAACAAGTAGAGGTGATCCCAATTTTGAGTGGCTGTGATAAAGAGCAATTATTTCCAAAATACTGAGAGAGCACAGATTTAGAAAACTGCCAGAAGAAAGGGGTTGGGTTGAGTTGGATTCAGAGTAATATAAGGATAATCGAATTGCAATGATTTGGAACGCTGTGCCTGGATGGTTGGAGAAGGTCAAAAATCACATGACACCAGGTTATAGTCCAACAGGTTTATTTGGAAACACAAGCTTTTGGATCATCTCCACATCATGAATGGTTGGAGGAAGCAGATTCGGTAAAAACTTTCAAATGCCTTTGCCAATCCACTAGGCTAGGGGGGCTAATTAGAAAGATCTTTCTGAAAGCCGGCACATGAACAATAGACTGATTGAATGCACCTCCACCAAAAGCTCAGATAGTGCATTCCAAATCCAAACCACTCATTGAGTAATCACACTTTTCCTCCCCCTGTACTTGGATCATTTGACCAGTGCCTTATATTGGTTTCCTTTGTTTCTCTACCCTTCTGTCAATAGGAACAGTTTCTCTCGAATCTGTCTTGATGCCTCTAGATTTCTCGATTAATTCTGTTCTCAACTTTCTTCTCTGTAAGGAGAATGGGCCCAATTCTCTCATCGCTGCCACCGTTTTTATGTCCAGGTGAGGAAGGGGTGAATAGACCCTTCTCAATCAGTCACCACAAAGGTTTAACTTCTTTTAGCATGAGGCTACATCTCTCTCCAATCAAAATATGGTTAAGTTGTTTTTACTGTAGCAGTAACATTCTCCTGAGTTTAAAAAAACACATTTATTACCTGCTATTCTGGGAAAATAATAAAGACACAACATCAAGGATGCAGCTTTTGTGCAGTTATTGATCTGTCACGCAGACACAGACACACCTAGATACACACACATAGACACACAAGACATAGACACAGACACAGGCACAACAGGCACAGACACACACAGACACGCAGACACAGACACACCTAGACACACACACATAGACACACAAGACATAGACACAGACAGGCACAACTGGCACAGACACACAGACACGCAGACACAGACACACATAGACACAGACACACACACAGACCCAGACACAGACACAAAGACAAACAAACAAATACACACACAGATGCACAGACATACACTGCACACATACAGACACACATAGACACAGACACAGTCACAGACACAAACACACAGACGCAGAAACCGGATTCATACACAGATGCACAGACACACACCGCACGGATACAGACACACCGAGACACGGACACACACACACACAGAAACACATGCTCACACAGACACACACATGCACAAACACATACTTGAACACACACACACACCACGACTCACAGACACAAGGTTAAAAAGTGATAGTGTTCTGGACAAAAGGGAGTTCAAAGAATTTACGTTTTAAACTCCTTTGAGTGTCTTTTGCGGCTAAGATTTTAACGTTGTGACCATGATTGGGCTAGCTGCGGGAGTGAATATTGCAGTTTTAAGTTCTCAGTTTTCTGACATTTCTTCCCTGCTACTGTTGTGACCTCTGTGCTACTCTTATTGAGAGATAGGGAGAGAGCCTTCTCCAGTCTGTGTTCAGTTTAAAATCCATTTCCACACTTCTGCTAGAAAAGCAGTTTGAAATACAAGCTGGTTGTAAATCCTGTGTGTTTGTTATGTTTTCAGGTTGGATCATTATAGGTAAGATTCCATTTCCAACAAGATTCTCATAATGGTGTAAATCAAAATAGGAGACAAGAACAAAGAACAATACAGCACAGGAACAGGCCCTTCAGCCCTCCAAGGCTGCGGCAACACATTTTGCTCTTCCATACATGTCTTCACTTACAGGATCCGTATCCATCTATTCTCTTCCCATTCATGTATTCATCCAGGTGCTTCTTGAATGCTGTTGTTATGTCTGCTTCCACCACCTCCTCTGCCAACGCGTTCTGGGCACTCCCACCCTTTGCAAAAAACTTGGCTCTCACATCTCTTTTAAACTTCCCCCTCTGCACCTTGAACCTGTGACCCCAGTAATTGACACCTCCACCCTGGGAAAAAGCCTCGTACTTTCCATTCTGTCCATGCCATTTGCAATCTTATAAACTTCTATGAGGACATTTTCATGCTTCTTCTGGCTAGGGTTAGGGCAGGTGGGAGTGGAATGCGGGTTCTTTGGGATGGGGGAACGTTGACAAGGTTCATTGCTTTTGGGTAAAATGTTAATTTCTGCTCAGATTGGTTTTTGTTTAACCCATGTTGGTCTTAGGAAATTTGGCCAATTTGAGTGGGTCAGCTAATGACTGTGACCACTTTAAGTCATTGTTTTTGTTCCTTTTTCAAGGCCATTCAGCTCATGGCTGCTGATGGATTCACAGTTCAATTAACAAATCTGCAATTGAAATCTAGCCTCAGGACTGGTGTCAATTGTTGTAAAAACTCATCTGGTTCACAGATGTCCTTTAGGGATGGAAACTGCCAATCTTACCCAATCTGATAAATAAGTCTGTTTTCAAGTCGTAGAGTCAAAGAGTCATAGAGCACAGAAACAGACCCCTTGGTCCAACTTGTTCATGCCGACCAACTAGCCCCATTTGCCTGTGTTTGGCCTATTTCCCTCTAAACCTTTCCTATTCGGGTACCTGTCCAAATGTCCTTTAAATGTTGTAACTGTACCTGCATCTACTGCTTCCTCTGGCAGCTCATTGCACACATGAACCACTCTCTGTGTGAAAAAGTTGCCCACAGGTCCCTTTTAAATCTTTTCCATCTCACCTTAAAAATATGCCCCCTAGTGTTGAATTTACCCACCCGTGGGAAAACACCTTTGCTATTCACCCTATCCATGCCCCTCATGATTTTATAAACTTTATAAGGTCACCCTTTGACCTTCTATGCTCCAGTGAAAAATGTCCCAGCCTATCTAGCCTCTCCTTATTACTCAAGCAACGTAGGAATTAAAATGGTCAATTTCTGCACAGCAAGGCCCCAAAATGAGATACTGCAGTTCCTACTATCTCTACTGACCAGGTAATCAGTGTTAGTGATGTTAGTTGAGGAATATATTTCGGTAACCTCACTGCTGTTCATTGAGATAGCATCGTTGAATTTTTTACATTCGCCTGAGAGAACAAGTGGACCCTTGATTCAGCAACCTCATCAAGACAACACCCTCAAGAATGTGACATTGGCTTATTATTGACACTGGGCTTTCTGCTTAGACTTTGAGCTTTAGACTCTGAAATGGGCCTAAAATCCTGCTTCACTCGCAAGAGTGCTACCCACTGAGGTACAGTTTGCACTTCTACTGTTGCTGCAGTGTTGGAGTAGGATTGTAGATTTGTGGCGCTGTTCTGGACTTGAGTTTGACGTGTGAAGGATTTCCAAATTCGTTGTGAGTTGCATTTGAAATTCCTCTCTACTGTTGAGCAGCCTTAGGGCTTTGATGTTCTTCCTCTTCAACTTTTGATTCTGGTGATGTCTTT